ATATTTGTGTTGTCAACAAGTACATTACGAATATATAACTTATATAATTAATTATATGATATAAATATAATATATTATTATCTCTATCTATAAAAGGCAGGTTGTGTGTGTATGTACCAAATGCACGGCCGCAATTTTCGACGGATTTGCACTAAAATTTACATGCACAAGTTAGCGACAAGGCCAAGACCGCCTTTGCATTTCCCAACTCCCATCGATAGTGGAAATAATCGATTTTTTCATGCTTCTACGGCAGTCTTCATGTAATTTGCAGCCATTTTTCTGCTGGCCAGAGTGAGAGCCTATAGCTGGCTGCCACGAATAGGCAGAAAGATTCTATTGGCCAGCGTGAGAGCCAACAGCTGACTGACACGAATGTTAACTAGAATGCTAGCATGCAAAAAAATTGATAGCTGCATTCGTCACAAGTGGAAAAAATTTAAATCTGCATGGCACTTTACTCCAATTGGCTCATTCGCTTGCTTAAACTCAACGTTGATTCTGATTCCGCAGAACTTGGTTGGGTGTGAAAAGTCTTTTTGTTAACATTCTTTTTTCATTCGGTTTTTCCAGTTACGAGTCCTTTTTTAAAGCTGATCGTTTTGTGTTCATTTTTTCTTTTTTCGTAACAGATTTAATGTTTAGTATAGAGCTTAGAAAATATTCGCGAGATAGGGAAGAAGTAAGGCATGTAGCAACATCAGCACGGTAAAGGGTACTCCTTTAAAAGCAAGGAAGGGCAAAAATATTTCAAGTCAAGTGATAGCGATTGCTGTATGTGTCGTACGATTTTTGAATCAAGCACGGGCAACGCCGGGCCATGCAGCTAGTTTTTATTTTTATGTAATTTATAATGTGAAAGGAAAAAATTATTAGATCGCATAAGAAATTGTACAAAAACTAAATTAAAGCACCTTGTCTGTCGTATTCAATGAAATGTGCATATATATATATATATATATATATATATATATATATATATATATATATATATATATATATTTGTTAAATATAACAGACAATGAACGTCTATTATGTTTGATCATGAGCTGTTCTAAACGCCATATATTTGCTTTGATATCGGTTAAAAATAAAGACAAAAATTGTCCAAGATTTGGATATATTTTATTAGGCTGTTTCTCGATCTAAGATTTCGGCACACATGAGCCTTCTTCAGAGTGGTTATGCGGACATTTAAACAAAGATATCGCCATCCAAAGATGATATTCTCTTATGTTGACATAATAGATTTCTATGCGACGATAACGGTCGCAGAATAGCAGACGCAGGTTCTAAATTCATATTAACAAAACGATATGTCTAGATGAAATGTTATGTGTTGTGACCAATTTGAAATGTAATTTTGTTGAGTGTGTGTTGCTTTGTTTTAATATAGATGATTCCCTGTAATTTTTGTTGCCACATGTATATAATGTTTCTTCAGACAACGGATTCGTGAATGAAATATTTAATTTTCGCTTCAAGCAGAAAGAGAATGAATCCACTCAAAGTTCAATTAAATTCGCTTCGTGACTTTTGCATCTTATTTCAATTTCAGAGCGCTCGGTTAATTAAATAATATTTTTCAATTTTTTTTCATTCAGAAATATGCGTTTTTTTTTTTTCTGACGGAGAATTAGTTTACTCGTTCTATAGATATTGTTCCATGAATTACATGCATTATTTACATTATTCGGACTGTTATCTTCATCTTCATTGCCCTATTCACCGCGTTTCGGCCGTTGTACGCTCCGGCCTTTAAGTCTATGTCTCTCTATATATATGTCTATATCTCTGAGATGAGGTATTATGATTACTTGCATTATTTACATTTTTGGGACTGTTATCCTCATCTTCATTGCCATATTCACAACGTTTCGGCCGTTGCACGCTCCGGCCTGTAAGTCCATGTCTCTCTATATATCTGTCTATATCTCTGTGATGAGGTATTATGATTACTTGCATTATTTACATTATTCGGACTGTTATCTTCATCTTCATTGCCATATTCACAACGTTTCGGCCGTTGTACGCTTCGGCTTTATTCAAGTGATTGGGATTTCGAACCGAACCTTTTATTTCATCAACCGATGAGATTGTTCTAGTTCTACGTGTCATGCCTCTTCCGGATGTCTCAGTTATTTCCCTTTAACTCAACTCACCACTGCTGTAGCCTGGTATTGAACTTACAACTCTTTGTGTTGATTCTTGTCACTGAATCTATCCACCGTCTTTATCCACTGTCTTTGAGGACATCTGTGTATGATTTTTTTTAGGACTAATGTTTCAGCAACTCTTTTTTACCAGTGTTGATATTGCAAATTTTCTTTTGCTATTATTTTTTTTTTTTTTACCAGAGATTATATTGCAAAAAATGCAATATGAGCACTGGTAAAAAAAAAAACCCCAAAAAACTATGGCTGAGACATTAGGTTTAGAAGTCTCAAAAATTCATACGCAGATGTCCTCAAGGACCCATGGATAAAGATAAAGACGTTGGTAAGATTCAGTGACTAATCTCAAAGATTTGTGAGTTCAATACCTGTCCATAGCAGTTGTGAACCAAAACTTGGAGAGTTGATTTGAAGTGAAATAACTGAGACATCCGGAAGAGGCATGGTACGTGGAACAAGAGGAATCTAACCCGGTGGACGAAATAAAGGTTTAGGAAGTTCCAGTCACCTAAAGAAGGCTGGAGTGGTTGTGAATATGACAATGAAGATGAGCATAACAGTCCGAATAATGCAAGTAAGACATATATACAAATATTGTTCATTCAAAACAGATTTTTTTTTTGTTGACGGGGAAGTAGTTTCCTCGTTCTATCGATATTGTTCCATGAAGTTATAATCCGTGGTGAGATTGTCTTGCGCTTTAATCCGAAAAAGAAAACTGATTAAAAGAATTAACAGAATTCTAGAAATAGAAACGAAATTGTATTTTTCAATAGAAACCAAAAGAACATTATAAATCCTGTGTCCAAAGATTTGTAAATAGATTGATGGGAATTACAGCAAAAAATTCTTCTTTTGTACTGTTCTACACTTATTCCAGTTAAGCAAAGTTAAGTTTGGTTAGTACTCAGATGGGGGTGGGCGCTTGGGAATCCCATGTTTTGTAAGCTTGGATGTGCGTGTCGATAGCAGCTCGGAATTGAAATTCGGAGTGCGGAGTTCGAATTACCATTTAGTTCGTTATATTCCCTTAATCGCAAAGGGTATGAATCCATCTCTTCCCCCCTAAGCTGTGGGTTAAATAGCAGTATAGACTGTGTGCTACTGACTTCGTTTCCAACCAGTCTACATCAGATTATGTAACGCCAGCCTACTGTTGAAATCGTTATTCTCAAATAAATACATAAAAAATACGACACAAGACTCTCATAGAGTTTTTCCTCCTGATTTTCTTCAGAAGTGTCTCTTTCAGATTATTACATGTTTCACTAAGTCTAATAGTAATTAAAATTAATCATTAATAGTACCAACGAAAGCTAGATCATGAGGTCACAACAGCAAGATGGATCATAATTTCAACTTAGTGCTGAAGAGATCAATTAGTTCCAACTCTTGTCAGATGAGAGAAGTTTCAGCTATGACAGTCCAAAGAGCAGAGAAAAATAACTTGGAAATGAAATCGTTCTTGAAATCTGTTAGGCATTTTGTTACTCCAGGACAGAGAGTTAGAAGGCTAGAGAGAGTGAGGATGGTCTTGAATATATATTTGAATTATATATCAATCCTTGATTAGCATCTGATCCTTAGCTATGATTAATTAATAATGAACATGTCATTTCTGCATATGGTCGATTTCATTACAATATTTCTGTTCAGCTTGGAGAGTAATTATACATTCTTTTTGCTCAAAGTAAACTCCAATAATGTTACAAAGAACTTGGAGAATTCCAGTAAGGTATCGTTAATCATTTCTAAGCTACAATGATTCTTAATCTAATCTAACAACTGGACTCTTTTGCTGTTACACGATTTGGACAATTTTGCTGTTACATGTAGATAATAATCCGTTGGTATATAATCTAAGTGAATCTTAATAATATAAAATAACAAAACTGATCCACAAAGAGAGCTCAATGGGTTTATTAAAACAGAGCATATATAAATTATATATTGTTTTAATTTAATTTATTTATTAGTTTGTATTTATTACCTATTAATTTATAGTTAATATAAAATATTTATTACCTATTAATTTACATTAAATATTTAATATTTTTATTAAATTTATTTAATATCTTTATTTTATTATTTCATTAATATTAATTTTAATTATCATATTATTTTATACGATTATTTATATATTACTTATTTGAGATGTAACCTTTTTACTAACTCTACCTTAAATGATTTTATTAAAATAAACGTTTAATAAAATCTCCTCTCAATTTTTTTAATTTTAATTTCCTTTAAGTAATATTCCTTAAAGAAAGTAGAAGCTAATATTTTAAATTAGAGATCAAGGTTATTTTAATTGGTGCCTGAATCCAGATACTCCCCCTCTACCTCAATGAAATTGGGTTTAAGCTATGTCTAGACGATTGGCAGCATCTTCTATTATATTCTACGTTCTCCTTTACGTTTTTACTTTTTTTATCTTTCTCGATTCTTTGAAATTTAATTTTTTTAAGTTACTTTATATTTAAACTACTTTTTGTTGATTGGCGAAATAGCTATTCAAATAAAGGAATTTTGACTTTCTATTTTATATATATATATATATATATATATATATATATATATAAGGATTGAAACCTAACCAATTTGGTGTCGGTCAGAGTTTCTAAAAAAACTGAACTATCTTCATTCAACAGAATGAGTCAGCTAAATCTAGCGTGTTGTTTCTACGAAAGTAAACAAATATCAATCAGCCATAGGGATCGATTGATTTTACTGAAGAGCTTTGCATTAGCGCAGATGGCTGTTGTTTATAGAATTAGCTTATCATTCAACAGAGCTCAACTGAAATATATTTTCAAGAGCTAATTTATGTCATTCGCAGACATAACTGTTTCATTGTATATTACGTCTCTCTCTCTCTCTCTCTCTCTCTCTATATATATATATATATATATATATATATATATATATATACATTTCATTGAATACGACAGACAAGGTGCTTTGATTTAGTTTCTTATACAGTTCTTTATGTGATCTAATATTTTTTTTCTTTTCGGTAGATAAATTATAAAAACACACTCCGATTATCCGAATACTTTCGGCTTTACATTTAAACATTTTCAAGGTTGAATGATATTAACTGTTAACAAGAAATAGTTTGTTATATGTATGTATTTATATAATGTTTTCATTTTACAAACACGGTCATGATATTGTGTCCATGTTCATAATTAATATATTTTAAAATTTGAAAATGGCTAAATGTATAGCCGAAAGCGCTCGAATAAAAAGAACAATCGGACAGTTTTTATATAATTTATCATCTGAAAAGAAAAAAAATATTAGATCAGATGAGAAATTGTATAAAAAAACTAAATCAAAGCAACTTGTTTGTCTTATTCAACGAAATGTGCATGAAAGAAGAATTGCTACCTAAATACACAAATATATATATATATATATATATATATGTGTGTGTGTGTGTGTGCGTGTATATGTATATATGTCTGTAAGACTCTACAGTAAATTGGGTTGTAACTGCCGATCCGCCTATGTAATGTCTGTCCAACCAATATCAATGGATACACAACATGCTTTCGTTCTTTGATAAGAAAATATTGACCAAAACCGGAATCTAATATGACAAATGACAGATTCTTCGACTACCCCCAGAATGATGAAAACGAAGCTTCCAGCAAATGTGATGATTTTAAGAATGAGGAGTAAGGAAGTCCATGTCATGCTACCAAACATTGTTCGAAAGGATTTTACAATTAAGATAGATTATTAGATACATTGATTTGCTGGAGTCAGTTGTTAAAGCCTGGGTGGAGCTGAAGCGTAATGTGGACGGCATTACGTGTTTCAATAAAAACTCAGCACTATCTCACAAATCCCACATACCCCACGAATGGACGCCAGACAAATTTACGATCATGTAATCTGTGGTCTTCAAACCCACCAAATTTAAATCTCTTGGACTACTATTTTTGATGCATTGAAGGGAGACTAATCATTACAGTCCTATAGCTTCATGGGAGGCTGACATCACCCAGGCGATGCCTGAAATATTCAAGGAACGTTTAGTGCCGGCATGCCAACGATCTGAGTTCGAAATCCAGTTGAGTTCATTGCATTCATTTATGTGCAAATATCTTTGGGAAAGGTATGAATCCATCTCTTCTCCTCAGCTATGGTAAACAGCTGGGTTAGAAACTCTTAATTCAAACTACCTACCTCCTTGTAGGTCCTGCCATTTTAACTTCTGGGATGGGAGATGGGGTAACCTCAGTATTCCCAGTACAAAAGGAACTGGCAAGCGATTGTACTATTCAGCCTTGAATGTCATCGGGAACAGTAATTTTTAGATAGAGGCCAGTGGTGACCAAGGTAATGCAAAATGTGTTAAATGAATAAATGATTCCTGAATGAGACATCAAAAGCGGATTCATAAAAATAATCTTATAAGAAAACGTATCGAGAACATATCCACAATCTGTCTATCTAACTATCTATCTATTTATCTTAACCGGTTTACTTTCTTTTTCTTTCTATCTATCTATCTATCTTAACCTATTTATCTATCTATCTATCTATCTATCTATCTATCTCATCTATCTATCTATCTCTCTCAATCTGTTCGTTCTCTCTCCTTTCTTTCTATTCCCAAACTGTTTCTTTCTTTCTTTCTATCCATTCCCAAATATATATATATATATTTATATTTCAATATATATATATATATATATATATTTATATTTAATTATTTTATAAAAAATTTATAACATAAGTATATATTACTTGAATATATATATATATTTGTTTCAACAATAATAATGAAAAATAAAATATTTATATATATATATTTATTTATTTATTTATTTTTCTTTATTATATATATATATATATATATATATATATATATATATATATATATATATTTGGTTGGATAGATGTGAGTTTGTGACCCTGGGTTTCACGCTTTGCGATCGTCAGACAAACTGATTAATGTTTTAAAAATTTGGGTTTATGTAGATTGCGTGTATTGGTGTTATTGTGGAAGTGGTGGGGAAATTTCGTCGTTTTGTCATTCATCGTACTAACGCAAACATCGATGTATGCAGACACATATACATACTTAGTCGTCCGTTGGGACTCATACATATATATAAACATATGTAGACAGTTTCGGCTATGACACATGTATGTATACGGGTGGTGTTATGTCTATACATACGCATTTGTATGTTGAAATGTTGAAATTTAAACATTGGAAGTGTGGCGGAAATGTCTCGTTAATGTCTCGTGAATGTATCCATGTCATATTATGAATTTTTTTTTTTTTTTTTTCGTTGAAAATATTTTCTCGCATGTATGTATATATGTGTGGTGGGGTTTGTGTAAAATTATGATAGGTAAAAATTATTATTAAATTATTTATATTTATTTTAAATTTTTGAAAAAAAATGGGGTTTATTTGTTATATTTAAAGCTGGTTATTTGTTTTGAAAAAAATTTTGGAAAAAAATAGGGGTTTGTTTGTTATATTTAAAGCTGGTTATTTGTTTGTTTTGGTGACTGTGTATATGTAACAGGTAAAATTTGTAATCATAATGTTTAATTTATATGGTGATGTTTAATTTAATAACGGGTTTTATATGATATGATGTGATAGTAATGTTTTAAAGGATTGGAACAATGCTATTTAGGCTTTAGCTAATAATAGTTATTATAAATTGGAAGAAATTGCAAATTGGTAGAAATGATTAGTAACAGTGGTGGGAGAATGATAAAACCATGAATGTAGTTATAGTGGTGGTAGCTTGAACTAAAAAGTGGTTGTTGGTGTTTTATTTTATTTTTGTTTTATTTTGTTATATGTATTAATTTATTTTGGTATAAAACCTGATAATAGGTATTCTATGTAAAATTATGGTAGTTGAAGATTGCTATAATTTTTAGTTTTTAATTACAAAATTATTATTATTATATTAAAGCTGCCTGGTAATAGGTGTTTGTTCTCATGGTTACATATGGAAATTATATCTGATCATATTGTTTTAAAGTATTAAATGTATTAATTTATTAATCTAATAAGTACCGCGCATATAATATATAAATAATTATACATATATATATTTATTTATATTTATATACACTTTTCATATATATATATATATATATATATATATATATATATATATATAT